GGAGGGAGGAGGGAGGGAGGAGGCAGGGCATGGAAGTGGGAGGAGGAAGGCGATGGAGAGAGAGAGGGAGGAGGGAGGCGATGGAGATGGAAGCAGGAGGGAGGAAGCAGGGTATGGCGGAGTATGGAGAAAGGAGGCAACGAAAAGGGAACGAGGGAGGCGATGCACAGGGGAGGAGAGAAACTATCGAAAGGCAGGGAGGAGGGCGGTGATGGAGATGCAAGGAGGGAGTAGGGAGGCGATGGAGATGGAAGCGGAGGGAGGAGGCAGGGTATGGCGGAGTATGGAGGAAGGAGGCGACAGAGAGGGAGGGAGGAGGAGGTGATGGACAGGGGGGAGGAGAGAAACAATCGAAAGACAGGGAGGAGGGCAGCGATGGAGCTGCAAGGAGGGAGGAGGGAGGAGGGAGGCGATGGAGATGGAATCAGGAGGGAGGAGGCAGGGTATGGCAGAGTATGGAGGAAGGAGGCAACGGAGAGGGAGGGAGGAGGGAGGCGATGGACAGAGGGGGAGGAGAGAAACGATGGAAAGACAAGGAAGAGGGCGGTGATGGAGATGCAAGGAGGGAGGAGGGAGGCGATGGCGATGGAAGCAGGAGGGAGGAGGCAGCGTATGGCTGAGTATGGAGGAAGGAGGCGGCGGAGAGGGAGGGAGGAGGGAGGCGATGGACAGGGGGGGAGGAGAGAAACGATCGAAAGACAGGGAGGAGGGCGGCGATGGAGATCCAAGGAGGGAGGAGGCGAATGAGTGCAGAGAGTAACTGCGCTAAGCGACTAGTAGCGCGGTACAAAGCGCACCTAGGAAAAGAGAAGTTTACACTATAGATGCCAACGCCGAAGAACAAGAAAAAAGAGAAACGAGGAACAACATGATGAAACAAAGAAAAAGAATAGGAACTTGAGAAGCTAAGCAGGGACTAGTAAGAAGTAGAAAGTTACTAGAAATGAAGACGAAAAGAAAGGAGAAGAAGAATAAGAAGAAAGACTATCCAAGAATAAGAGAAGAAAAAGAAAAAAAAGCTCATCTTCGCGTCGTTCGTGCGGGGCACAACAGTCTCCAAACTATGGCACAACACACGTGACGACGATGTGCGGAGGAGGTTACACAGCAGAGGTGAAGATGGTGACTCCAGCGTGATGACAACTACCGCATGTGATCTTGCGGGGCGGGAAGGGCACGACTAGCAGGGCGGGGCAGGAAGGGTGCGACTGGCAGGGCGGACCATGGGCGTGAGCGCGGTGGTCAGGTTTCAAATTTGAAACCTGGAGCTGCCCTGCACCGTCGATCTGGGACGATCAACGGTCCATGTTGCAAAAAAAAAAAAACAAAGGAGTGAGACGTGGCCTTACGGGCCCTGAAAAAAAAAACGACCGACTGCAAAATTTTTGTTTCGCATCCGGGCCAACCAGCGGCGGCGCAATTTTGTTTTTCGAGGCCCGTTTGGCCTTGGCGCTGAGGAGGTCCGCGACGCGAACCGGGGGGGGTCGCCCGACCGAGCGCCCCGAGCGTCATTCCGGGCGCCGTGGGGTACCCCGTGCGCCTGGGTTGGAAAGCTAGTTTAATTATTTATTTGCTGTCCTATTTTTGTTTGTTCAGACGTAATTTTGGACTTGTAGTCCCCAAGGCACGACGTTGGGCTGGGTGCACCAGAGGCGGGGCCGAAAGAGGCCCGGGTGCACGTTTGCGCCTTGCTGCATCAGCAGCATGGTCTGGACACCCGAAAGGGGCCCCGACCGTAAGGGCCGTTTGAGGCCACGCTGCAGCACACCCAGTAGGGCCCAACGCTGTATATAGCTGGGCCACAACCTGGAAAGACGCACAATTCGGTAGCTCACTTCTTGAGCTACATGCTGCTGGTTTAGCGTTGTGCCGCTTAACGCTGCGCTGCGAGGTTGGAAGTAGAGGATAGGAAGGCAAGAGGGGTGGAGGCCATATCTGCACTAGGGAGACTTACCTGGCGCCATAGCTGGGACTACCCGTGCACGCCACTTGCACATGACGACGATCGACGGTCAAATACAGTGGCGCCCACCTGCAGGTGAGACAGTGCTGCATACTGTGAAGGTGCAAACCAGAACAAGAACCAACCTCTCTCACAAAGTACAAGATAGCGTAGTGGAAGACTTAGATGCCAATGATCCGAACAATCAATGTTGCAATGCAGCCCCGAACATAAATCACCATCATCGTTCCATGGTGTGAAGGGGCCTGGCGCTCACACAGGAAGAATGCGCCAGTCCCCAACCATACACAGACGAAGCAGAGGAGGGTTAGACGAAGAAGAGGGGAAGATGGGAATGTCGTCAACATCAAGTCTTCGGCACAGGCCCCAAATAATCCCCCGTCAAGTGTCTGAATCCCAATGTCGAGTCTGGATCCAATATCGTCAAGTCCCAAACTCACAACTCTCTCTCTCTCTCTCTCTCTCTCTCTCTCTTTCTCTCTCTCTCTCTCTCTCGCTCGCTCTCGTAGTCCGCAAATACTGAGAAGTCAGATAGCGAGAGGGTGAAGAAGATATGTTGGACTTAAAAAGGAAGAAGAAGAACTCCCTCTCTCTCTCTCTCTGTCCGGTACTAACCTGTGAAGTTGGCGCCTTGATGCAGGTACCTTGAAGATGAAGCTGAAGCTATGGCACCACAGGTAAGTCTCCCTGGCCTCCGACAGTCATCTCTCTCCCCAACGCTACTCTACTCCTACCAGCGCCCAACACTGAGGACTACTACTACAGCTACTAGCGCCCAGCGTTGAAGACTACTGCTATCGCTAGCGCTACTCCTGCAGCGCTCCTCCAGAGTGTTGCTGCCGAATCCTGAAGACTACTCCTGCCTTTTGCCTACCCGTGAAGTGCATGGGAACTCCCTATGTACTACCTCGGCCTGCCTCCTAACTGCCTCCGACTGCCTGCAGTTGCAGGGCGTGGGGCAGTCCAGGAGGCTGCTCTAGCCAATGCCAACGTGAGCCAGGGCCTGGCGCTGCAGCTCCTGCTGAGCTGTCGTGGGAACATGCCAAAAATAGTCTATTCCTAAAACCCTGGTTTGGTGCCCGAGTGTTAGGGCAGGTCGATCTTATGAGGGCCCAAAAGTGGTCCTCCGTTTCAGGCTGAAAAGACTCAGGGCCTAGAAGGCCCTATTTTAGGCTGAAACGAAATAGGGCCTGCAGGCCCTCCTTTTCAGCCTTTCAGGCTGAAACGACACAGGGCCTATAAGCCCTTATTTTCAGGCTTTTAGGCTGCGGACGTTGGTCGGGCCCTGCAGGCCCGTGTGGCTGCGCAGTATGCCACACCCCCCCCTCCGTGAAAGACCGATCTTACCTGCGAGGGCGAAGCTGTCTGTCTGAGGGAGGGACCACAGTCCGGGTGGGAGGGGCTGGTCATGAAGTTCCCTTAGCTAACCTTTGTCGCTTGTAGTGAGTGGAGATCAGCGGTGCGGATGTTTTCAAATCTGCTCCTGAAATCCATCGAGTGTCATCGGGATCACATGCTTTGAATGTAGCCTTGTACTTTCGAGGCTTGCTGCCGTACTTGCGATCCGTGATGACACGGTCAACTTCTTGATAACCATCCATAGATGGAGGATCTTGCGATCTTCGGCCCGGGAAGTCGTCGCTCTTAACTGGTGTACATGTCGCCAGTTTCGAGGCATGGAAGACTGGATGGACCGTCAGAAGCGGGGGGATGTTGATCACAAATGAGGGGCCATCGGGCTCATCGCCCGCGGCTGATGTTACGGGCCATGGTCCAAACCACTTGGAAAGCCCTCGGAGACCCACACCAGATCACCGGCGCGGATGGGACATGGCACGCGACGCCTGTTGGCTTATTGCTTCGTGTGGACTTGAGCCTTCCTCATGTTCGCGCGGGCTTGAGCCAGCAATTCCCTGTACTTCCGGACGAAAGCGGGGGAGCAAGCAGCGTCTATGTCGGTTGTTCATGGAAGGAGAAGATCAGAGAAGACACGGCCTTTCCGACCACCGTGGTGCAACTCGAATGGAGTCACGCCGATCGCCGGATGCAACGAAGTGTTGTAGGCGAATTCGATGTCGGGGAGGCGGTCAACCCAATCCATCTGATCCGGATGGATGAGCGTACGAAACATCATTTGAGACGTTTGATGTGCCCGCTCCGTTTACCCGTCCGTTTGTGGATGCCGAGCCGAACTTGGGTTCATCTTCGTGCCCGATTCCTGCATGAAACAAGTCCAAAATGCCGACATGAAGCGAGTGTCGCGGTCGCAAACGATGTCTTCCGGCACGCCGTGGCTGCAAATCCAGCCGGTGTGTAAAAGGCGCGCAAGTTCAGGAGCCGTGGCGTAGTACTTGCAAGGAAGAAATTGTGCATACTTACTCAAACAGTCAACGACCGTGAGGAAGCCGTCGTGCCCGAGGAGGTCGCGGGGAAACGGACTGGTGACGTCCATGGCAATGGAGAGGCCGCGTTCCCGTGGGATAGGCATCAGGCGCAACTCGCCGTAGGGATTGCGGTTGCGAGGCTTGCTTCGTCGGCAAACTTCGCAAGAGTCGCAATACCGAGTGACATCGGTAATGAGGTCGGGCCATCGGAATCGTTGTCGAAGTCGTGCAATAGTGCGATTGACTCCGAAATGGCCGGCGAGTTGCGAGTCATGGTACTCACCGAGAAGGCGAGTCCGACGACGACGGTCCCATGGGACACGATAAGTCTTTGCCTCTCGAGTGGAGGAGCAAGTACCCGTCGGCGATGCGATAGTGGCTGGCTGGCGGGTGATCCAAAGATAGTTGCGCATACAACGTGGAAAAATCCGGATCAAACTCATAGCCCCGGATGAAGTGTTGCTGAAGTTCCTCGTCAAATGTGAAGGCATGATGTGTCATAGCGCAAAGATCGGGTCTTCGCGAGAGTGCATCTGCTGCGCGATTGGACAGGCCGGCGAGATGTTTCGGTGTGAAGTCAAATTGGTCGATGAAGTACATCCAACGTCCGATCGTGTTGCTCACTGTATCCTGCGTCTTGTAGTAGGTCAATGGGTTGTTGTCCGTGACCCATGTGAACCTACGACGCCCAAGGAGGAATTGCCACTGTCGCTTGAGAGCCATCACGAACGCGAGCAGCTCCTTCCTCGCATCATCAAGTGAATTGATGGGAGGCACTTTGTGCCTGAAATACTCCACGGGGTGCCACTCGTCGCCGTCCTGTTGTTCCAAGACTGCCCCAATGCCATAGCCGGAAGAGTCGGTTGTCAGTCTCGTTGGCGGGGTGGGGTAGTACATGCTAAGGACGGGTGCCATGAGCATGGCCGTCTTGAGTGCTTGGAATGACCGGCGTGCATCGTCATCGAATACGAATGGCACCTTTGGCGATTGTAATCTCGTCATAGGTGCGACAATCCTTGAGTACCCAATGATGAAGCGTTGACAGTAGCCTGCCAACCCCATGAATGAGCGAACGTCCGTGGTGTTGGTGAGCTTGGGCCATACGCGGATGGCCTCAATCTTGTCCGCGAGCGGACGGATGCCTTGCAGCGTCACATAATGTCTCAAGTACTCTAGCTCTTGCCGCGCGAATTCCCATTTGTCGTGGTTGGCTTTGTACTTGGCTTGTCGTAGCCGCTCCAAAACGGTGCGCAGGTGCTCCACATGCTCGTCCAAACTCCGGCTGTACACCAAGATGTCGTCGAGGTAGACGAGTACGAATCTATCCAGCATGTGTCGGAACTCCATTGTCATGGCCGCTTGGAATGTGGTCGGGGCATTCGTAAGGCCAAAAGGCATAACCAGCCATTCGAAATGCTCATATCGCGTTTTAAACGCGGTCTTGTAGCGGTCCTCCAGCCGGATCTCGAGTTGGTGATATCCCGATTTGAGGTCAAGCTTGGAGAATAATTTTGCGCCGCCCATATTGCGTTCGAGGTCGTCGATGCGCTGAAGAGGGTCGGCGTTCTTGACGGTTTGCGCATTGAGCTTGCAATAATCGATGCACAACCGCAAATCCTTGTTTTTCTTCTGGACAAAGAGAACGGGGGCACCGAATGGCGAAGAGCTAGGCCGAATCCAGGCTTTCTCGAGAAGGTCGTCGACTTGTGCCCGTAGCACACTTAACTCTTCCTCGCTCATGCGATAGATGCTACCACGCGGTGGTACGGCCCCGGCCTCGAGGATGATCTCGTGGCGGATGGGCCGATCCGGTACTACTCCGTGCGGGGCTTCGAACACGTCGCCGTAGGCGTCGAGAAGCTCGATGATGCGTGGGTCCGGTGGTGAGTCCGTCGATGGAATGTCTTGGGGCGGGAGGGCGTGGAGAAAACACACCCCCATCTCCTCGATGTCATCCCTGATGATGGAAGCTCGAATGCTTGCGGCGGACACCACGTGGCAGCTGATCGAAGGGTGAGGAGGAGGCACCGTGCATGGGACTAGTACTCCACCGGGTGATCCTCGCTTCGCAGCCATGACATGCCAAGATCATGTCGAACTTGGTGTCCAAAATATCTAAGGACACGGCCTCGCTTGCATGCGGGGCAAAGTACACGGGGACGGCAGCATGCTCCGGTCGATTGACTTGTGCATGTTACTGTCGGCCAACGTGACTTGTGTGGGCTGCGACTTCCTTCGAACGCGTGGTGCAAGGCCAGCGCGAACCATAAAGTCTTGGCTCATGTAGTTGCGAGTAGCTCCGCAATCGATCAAAGCGCTACAGGTCGCCTCTCCGATCTGAATGCGTATGTACAACAATGGCGCATCGATGTCGTCGTACCGTTGTGTCTTGAACTCGCGATCGATCTTTGCAACGTAGTCATGAAGGTCGACAACCTCTACTCCGGCGTCCATCAACGGAGTTGGTACTGCAGTGTGCAAGTAATCCCGCAATCGTGCCATGAGGACGTTGCAATGCGGTTTCGGCAATCGACCGGACGGGGGAAGGGGCGTCCATTGGAAGTCCGCAAACGTCAACGGGTCGAGCTCTTCAAGTCCTGACCATGTCGTCGAATCCCCGACGATAGATGGCGGCGAAGCTGCCGAATCGGTTGCCGACGGTAGTGAAACCGTGCATGTGGTGGATTGTTGCACGTGGAGTGGTTGGTCCAACGGTGGGACCAAGTGGACAGCATAATCCTCGTAAGTGAACCAAGGACTTGCGACATTCACATCCTCCCCAGATGTGTAGGAGGCCGCTAGCAATGCGGCCGAGTCGGGCGGAGTGAGAGGTGGAGTCGCCTCACCTCCCGCGCAACTCAGTTTCCCGAGTTGATGCGCGGCCAAACATCCTCCTTGCCTTGATCTGGGCATTGGGAGGTCTTATGCTTGGTGTTGTTGCACCAATAGCAGCAACCATACCGGCCGCGCCACTTGTATTCGACCTCGGTCAACTGACCCATGGTGCTGGCTGTCCGTTTTCGGCCGGCGATGCAGTTTTCGCCTTCCCTTTTCCTCGGGAGTTGTTGCTTCGCGGCTGGACAACGGCCACCTGGTCTCCCTCACGTGATGCTTGGGTGGCTGCCGGTTCTTCCACAATGTTGTCCGGTTGGACTGCAGTGACATGCCGCGGCCGCAAACCTAATTTTCCTTTCTCCACATAGGTTGGCTGCCACGCTGACTTCTCATGTGCAACCGCCCTGTTAGTCTTGATGATCTCCCTTGCCTTGTCGATGATTTCAGCGAAGGTCGTGTATTGCTCGCGATCACCAAGTGCAAGGCTCAAGGCGGCACATAACCGGCTGTAAAACTCTCGGCGCAGATGCAAAAATGGCAATTCGAGATCGGGCGTTGCCGCGATCTTTTGCCATTCCGTGAGCCAGTTGCGTGTCGATGTGTTGCCTTGCGTCATGGCGAAGAGGCGGTTGATGGCGAGTGTCGGGGCGTCGTCCACGATGAACCGCTTCTTCCATAGCCTCGTTAACTCTTCCCAAGAGATCGACCTGGACGTCGTGAATGGTTGCCAGGTGGCTGAGCCAGATCTGGCATCCACCCTTAGTTGAGGAACAATGCGACGATGTACGAGTGCTCGGGGACGAAAGGAATCCGAAGTTACGTCGTAAAGCCCTCCCACAAGGGGACCGGGTCTTGATGCGTATAATCATCGAACTTTTCGATTTGGAACGTCGGCATTTTATAGTGTTACGCACTGGTGTTGCCCTCCTTATTGGGCCGATGGTGTAGTTGCTGAACCTCGGTCTGTGTCCAGCTGCTTGTTGATGGTGGCTGGTGCAGCGAAGGTGTTGATGTCGCTGAGCATTGCGACTATGTGGTTAACTCGTTCCTCCAATTGGCGGGTACAGGGTGCACTCCTGGACTCGCCAGCATCTGGTCTTGGTGCAACTTGCTCCAAGTCCTGTACACGGGAATCAAATGCCCGTTTGCACAAGCGGTTATCGCGTAGCTGAAAATTCAGGAATGAAAATTCTGAAGTGAGAGTTTTGGGCAGGCTGAAAATCATGAATGGTCCTGAAGAAGTGAGGGTCCGAAGACCCTGAAAACCACCTGTTTAGGCAGGCCGCATCCTGAAGTGGTGAAGGGTGTCTTGAAGTGGTCAAGTGAGAGTTTTGGGCAGTCTGAAAATCCTGAATGGTCCTGAAGTGGTGAAAGGTCCGAAGACCATGAAAACCACCCTTCACCACTTCAGGATGCAGCCTGCCTAAATAGGTGGTTTTCAGGGTCTTCAGAGCTTTCACCACTTCAGGACCATTCAGGATTTTCAAACTTGAATGGTCCTGAAGTGGTGAAAGGTCCGAAAACCTTGAAAAACCACCTGTTTAGGCAGGCTGCATCCTGAAGTGGTGATGAAAAATACGACTGTTGTTAACCTTCTCTCCCTCGTGCAGATCCTTGTGGTTCCGCACTGGCCGTCGAAGGTTCGCCAACTCGGACTACAAGTGGTTACAAGTGTAAACCAACCGGTTCACGAGTTTGGCAAGGAACTCCTTGTGCTGCTCTTCCGGTGTCGTGTATTCATGGTTCTCGGATGGTTCAAAATGTCAGAATTTGAGCTTTTCGATGCTGGTGGCTTCATGCCGCTGTAGCAGATCCTGGGCCTCCTTGTGGCGTGTCTGGGTATCTGCGTCTGCTTCGGTCTGAGCTGCTGCTTTTAAGCTGCTGCCGCCGCTTCAGCTTGTAGGCGGGCAGCCTCAGCTACCGCCTGGCGCTGCTTCTCAGCCTCGATCAGTGCGAGTTGAGCTTCGAAATGTTGTCGGTACTCGGCAATGGACTCATTGGCCAGTTGGCCTGGCATGCCCAGAACTGAGACCGTCATGGTGGCGAGGCACTGCTGACATGGTATTGCTGACATGGCATGCTGACGTGGCACTGCTGACGTGGCACTGCTGCTAACGTGGCACTGCTAACATCGCATTGTACCAAACCGGGAATGCAGGCAAAGGGTTGGGTGGGAGGGAAAACGCAGGTAGGTAACCAACCAAGCTATACTTTCCTCCCGGTCCTAATCAACAGAATAAAAAACTAAAAAAATAAAAGAAGAGGATCACCCCCCCCCCTTTTTTTTTTTGTTGTATATCTATCGATCTGTTACGAGTGAGGCATCTCAGAGGAGTACTATGAGCGAGATCTAGGCCAGGTTCCGCAAAGTTTCGGCTTTCACAAAAATGCAATCTTGAAAAAAAAAAATTTCCTTAACACTCTTAAAAGACTATAGCGGGTCTCGCGTGACGCTCCCACGGAGACCCAATTTGCAGTGTTGGGAAAGTTGGCGGTTCGGAAGAGCGGGCCCGAGGGAGGCCGACCGAAACGTTGCGGTTGGTTTTTTTTGTTTAGGAGCCGCCGCAGCGTGAATCCGGTTGGGAAGAAAATCGGGATCGGGGATACGGAGTACCGTCAGAATTGGAGGGAGGGAAAGAATCGGGATCAGAAAGGGAGAAGAAGGGGGAAGTTCAGAGGACGGGGGAGTTCGGAGAAAGTTGGTGTGTGTATGTGTGTGTGTGTGTGT